ATTCTGTCGGGGCACACAGCGTGCGAAGCGACCAATCAGCGGGTGGCACGCTGAGCTCCACGATGCCCACTGCACGCCATAGGTCAAGAATATTCCAGAACAATCAGGACTTCATAAATACGCTGGATTGAACAAGCTAATATATCCACTGCTTCCGCGTGGTCTTGAATAAAGTCACTGCTATCAGGAACTGGCTCTTTTCCTTCTTCCGCATTCTGGTCGGAGTCCAAAAAGGACTGATAAGACGGATGCCCCATACAGGCGGATCTTGGTGGCAATTAAGATGTCGTGACGGGTTAAGAGGGGCACCCTCCGAGGCAGGCTAAAACTCGGCAAGCAGCAAGTAGTCGGGCTGGGAGTAGCGTCGACACTCTCCAGACAACGAGAGATAAGTAGTGTCCGCGTCGCTGACTGGTCACCTGTGAGGGAGACGATGGCTAATTTTCAAGACAGTACGGTCAATATCCCCAATAACGGGCTTGATGCTTGATAAACCTCGGTATCCGACGGTTGAGTCAACGTCATCTAGGCAACAAAACTCAATAAACGCGAGCGAGTAACTAAATATTCTCATCAGTAAGCTGGAATGGCATGGAGTTGTGCTACTTAAACACAGTCTTCGAAAACACCCAGTTAACGAACGAAAAGAAAAAGGTCAGTGGTACTCTTTTGAGACGAATGCTTTAAGTGGTGACATTGAAGCCAAAAAATACAAACTGCAGTAGATGTTATGCAAATTGTAATCGTTGACAGTAACCATTTGATGCCCTGTAAAGAAGATTCGAACAAACGGTATCAACTCAGAAAAGACTTCACGTGAAGCTAGATATTTATGCTACCAAATTTTAAGAGATAGCCACCTAGAAGCTGAAATAATGCGACGTCTATAATTCTGTAGTCCGAAGATTTAAACAAAAGTAATCATGAAATGCTCCTCCGTATATTAAGGGAAGTTGCAGAGGCGACATGAAGTTAAGTTGTGGGATTGACCACTGGCTGACAGCCACCGTAAGGAGTTATCTTACGAATGTAAAAAAAGAAACTAAGCCAGGATGACCAAGTTGGCATAGTGGGTCACCTGTTCAGTCACCTCCTGACAGCTAATTGGTCAAATTGTTTTAAAATATCGCTAAACTTGTAGCCGCCATTACTTCCGATGATAGATTCCTGTGCAAATTCGAAAGTCCAGGATATTAAGAATGCAGTTCAATCGGTCAACGTGCCTCCTACTATAAAAATATCAAAGTGCCTGGTCATATGTCCACTACTCCGGTAGCGCACATGTGAAAAACGCCACTCGGAGGATGTGGTGGTCCACCTAGGCGCCAGCTTAGCCTTGCCAGCCGGCCACCCGCGCCTAACCACAGAAAAGAGAAAGCTGATCCGGTAAGACGGGAAGCCGGTATGCGCGGTGCAGAAGTGTGGCACGCGTAAACGAGCTGTTTAGCTTTATCAGTCGATGTGAAGTAAGCGTGCGTGTGAGGGCTAACCTGCTAAAAACTTGAGGGTACGAGCCCGATCGTTTACGCTGACGAGGAAACTGAAGGCTTCGGCAAGCACTGGGCCCAGAAGAGCGTCCGCCACCAGCGCCTCCTCTGAGCACTCAATCGTACGGTCCGCCGAGGTAGTGTAGGGGAAGAACTTGAAACCATCCGCGGCTGCAGCAACTGGCCCTTCAATCACTCTGACCAGACCCATTCGCACAAGCGGCGTGAAGCAGTTGGAAGCAGTCCGGAGACGCATTCTATCTGCCAAATTCCACTAGAGGTAGGACAGGAAAGACCCGAAAAATGGGGCGTCACACATTGAAAATGGCAACGGCGCCAACACAAGAAGAAGCGGAATGAAGAACATATTCAACTAACACATACAACATGTCTGGGATCTTCTGCAAAGGTCAGGATGAAATATGACTTGGCAGTTTAGCATATATTTGGTCATGTTATTTTGATCTAATGAGTGGATTGAATTCTGAGAAAGGCTTTTAGTAAGAAAAACCAGGTCGTTAGTTCAGGATATTGAGGGTACTATGCATGAATTTGAGTGAAATCGGAGATAGCCCGATATCGAAGATATTTCCTATGCTAGTAAGCTTGACAGAACCAAATCTTTTATTTTTATGCATCGTGCTATGGAAGAACACCAATGGAAGCAAAAAAGTTCAAAATAGATCCCTTGCAGAACCGGAAAACTTAGTCTGAAATGTATCAACTGCAGGCGAAGTCAATTTTAATGTTACAGTATCGCGAAGATGAAGGTAAAACGAAATATTATTAAATCTAAAGCATGTAGAAACATGCTTTGTGTACACTTTAATTTCCGCTTATATGCAATTTAGAAACGGAACAGACAGAAGAATAAGAATTATATCAGAATCTTAGCATATGTTTGGCCAATCGTTTTGGCATTCGCAAGCTTAGAGCGGAGCCTGAAAGTAATCAATTATGGTGAATAATACTCCAACATAATGAGAAAGGTGAGTTCATCATTCTCCTGCTAGCGAAAGATAATTACCTGCATCTGCGCACTCAGTTGAAGCCAATCGCGTAGGTTGTGCTTATTAAGTTCGGGGCCTTAAAAGGAAAAGCGAGTGTTACAAAAGCCACATTGATAAAGTGCTAGTACAGCCATCGCATTTCGAGTGGTAATCAGGCAAAGTCCAAGGGCTGTCTCAGCTTGACCTTTTTCCTACATTGGGGCATAAGTTCCGCAGCACCTGTTTTATATGTTTTGAAGTCTTTGTCCATATTGCCACATTCTTTTGATGGTTTGTACATATTTATGCTGCTGTTCCTTGTCGGCACAAGCGTTTGAAGTCTGGCAACATTAGTTTGGAAGAGCAGCCTAGTTCCGGTTGACCGTCAGACTTGGATAAATGGAAATTTGCTTTCCACTCATGAACGTGAACCGCCATCGAGCAGTCTTGAATTGGAAGCAGCATTTAGAGTCGACCACAACACGATCTTGAGGCATTTGCATCAACCTAATTCTGTTCATAAGAAGCGCTATCAAGATTTGATTTTGAAGAAAAGTCGTTATTGCTTTTGTTGCCAAAAGCAAGGTATGGATCTGGTTAATAAACTTTTGCATAAAAATCGAGTTTTTTGCAAGTGCTGTAAGATTTTTGTCTCAAGCTAATAAAAGGCTACAGGCAAACCAATTTAAGAAAGCCTGTTTCGCATCTGCCTGTACATGTTGCAACCCAGTGTAAAACAAAGACTGAGACGGACAATTCTGTGTAGATAAGATCTACAAAATCTGTTTCATATTTTGCAAATTAATAAATTGACCACTCGTAGTATCCCCCCCCCCTTCAAAAATATACGAACTGCATATAAGGCACAAGGCAGAAAACATGGATGGGAAACAAAATGCACGTGCCGATGATGGCGAGATCCGCCGAAGGTGAGAGCAGCTGGTGGAAAGGAAGTCGAACACCATATAGAGGATGCCAATTTAACGTCGAGTTGGAGGACAACGGGTGCTGAAAGGGGTGGAAGGCGGGGGGAGGGGGCAGACAGCGAATTAGTGTGGGTCGGTGGGAAAAAGACAAGGTCACGGCAAAGGCGTGTGCAAAAAAGTTGTTGTAATACATAGGCAGCGATAAGCGCAAATCGACTTGGCTACACGCCGCACGTTCTATTAGGTCTAAGGTTTCAAAAGTCTCTCATCTTAGCTATACAACTATCCATTCGCTGAACAGAAGAAGCATACCCTTCAAGTCTACTAGAACAGTCATTCATAGTGCCATGGGTTCACCTTTGGAGCCATAAATAAAGGAATACTGATTAATTCACACAGTTGACTGGCAAGAAATGGCAACACTTCGAAGCCATTTTGCACGCGAAAATTTTCTACCTCAAACAGACAGTTCTAACAAACGTTTTATTAATAGGACCTAT